TCTTTTTTACATCGTGGTGACCAAAACTGGATGCGGTATTCCAAGTGTGGCCTTACCAAGGCATTGTAAAGTGGTATTAATACTAGACATTTGAAATTGGCTAATAATCTGGGTGATCTGAATATTCCAATCCAGGATAATGTTCTTGAAATGAGTTTTGCAATCCCATTCTATGCAAATTCAGTTTAAAATAAGCCCCACTGAGTTCAACAGATTTTATTGTAAAATAAATCATACATAAAACAGCAAGATCTTAGTACTTACATTAAAGGCAAAGACCATAAGTTAGTAACAAATAAGTTATATACCTGTTTGATGAGATATTATTTTTTCCATTATAGTTTAATTTCTCATTGGTCTCCGTTCTTTGTTCCACTAGTACTATCTTCAAGGTGGTCTCTTCCATTCTCAGTCAGCCTCCTTGTGAAACAATGACCTGCGCTGAAACAGAAACATGTATCATGTGTCTATCAAGATCACAATTTGTTTCTCTGCAATGTCCTGCCAGCTGCCCAGTTCAGGTACTTGAGAAGAAGGCTAAAAATCCTTAGAAATGCCTGTAAGTAGGCATGTTGGCTTCAGAAGAAAGATGCACAAAAGAATCCAGTGCAGGTAGACAGAATGAAGGGCTATCTTATATGTTTGGCAGTAATTGGTTCTAGGTGACAAGTGAGTGGCAAGGAATGGAGCAGAGAGCCTGAACCCAGAGGATCCATGGTCAGGGAAAGGAATCAAGGAGATTCTGAATTTGGTTGCCATTATCTTTTTATAACTTTGCTGTCAGAAAGGCAATAAGATTTCAAAATAGTTGTGCCCCCAGGATCCTAGGTTAAATTGACCACTAGGTGCCACCACATGACTGATTTCATCATTATTGGCACAGCTCAGACATAGGTAGCCAGATGTTAATTTAAGAATTTCAAAACTTCTCCCATGAATTGCACTCACTGACCTTCATACTGCCAGCCCGTGGGCCAGTTTCATTATACCAGAGCCGCGCCCACCCCACTGCCGGCAATGGCAAAAAAGCTCCGATATGTTGTGTGACATCACATGACGTCGCAAGTTTGACATGTCTGATATAGTGCATTAGTTTATCTAGGTCCTGGAGCTTAACATTTTCAGGAAGAAATATACAGAAGCTGGATATATGCAAAATATAAAAGATGGATATATACAATCCATCTTCCCTTATGACCTCAGACTAGAGAGTGAAATGTGAAATCCTTGACATACTGTTCTCAGGGAGGGCTACAAAGAACTATTATATGACAAAATAGAGCCAATATTGGGTTAAGTGAATCAACAGTGAATCATCTGTATAAACAGTTGAAAGATGAGATGGCCTCTGAGATTGCAACAGTGAAAAGAATCCGTTATATTAGCAAGTTATATTAGCACATTAGTTCAAGCAGAAGCAGATTTTTTTTTTTAGGTTTTTAACTAGGTATTAATTTGTATACACAGGTTATTTAAAAAATCCCTTTGAATCCAGCAATCTTTTTCTGTCAGTGGTAAAACAAACATTTTACGGATACAAGTAAGGTATAAGATTAAGTAAGGGTCTCTTCTGTAATATCTCAAGCTCTATCGCTCTGATTTAGGAGTAGCAGAGTTATAACAATAAGAAACCAATAATTGCTTCATCCTCTCTCTTTTAAAGACATTTAATTTGTAGCCATTGACAAAGCTTATGAAAGTAAACTCCATTTTTTAGCCTAGTTTAAGACATGGGAAACTCGTGACTCTCTACATATAATTAAATTATAACTCCCAGCATCCTTCAACACTGGTCATTCTATTGAAAGCTACAATTCAACAATAACCGTACTGAAATAGGGAACCTATGTAACATTTTAGTTTTGCAGGAAAGGAACTTGTATTGTCTTACTAAAATCAGCTGACATTATTAGTGCAGCATTGAATAAGACTAAACAATGAAATCTTGTATAATATACAGAGCACTTAATTCTCATATACTTTAGTATTGGCAGCAACTTTATATACTATCTTTCCCAATATGCTCATCCAAATCTGTCCAGTTTTCAACTTTTCCATCTTCACTCCTTTCTAACTGCTATCACTCAGCAGTTGCTTCTTAAGAGCATCACCGATTTATCAAAAATAACTTTGAAAATGGTTGCTTCCTAAATAGCTGAGTGGGATGTAACATGAATCTTTCAATAAACAAGCATCCAAAAATACACCTATTAATGTCTATTTCAAAGTTTAGTGCCTGCAGATATGCCGATCTTCAATTTCCTTAATAGCCAAATATAAAGAAATGGGTAAATTAGGAAAGAGTTGGATTACAACAGTAAAAACTTTCATTAGTCAAAACTAAATTAGCTGATTAAATATTTGACACAACATTCCAGTTCCAGTATTCTGTTGTAATTCAGTTTAAGTATCTTTAATTAAAATAATTTAATGTTTTCTTTATCTCCATCTTCTTTCTGTTTTTAAACTACAAGTCCTCTAGGACACGGCTTTTCAACCTTTTCACCCATTGTACCACTTTTAGGATATGGCAATATCCGAGTACCACCAGTCGCCTAGCAAGGGGTCAAAAACTTGATGACCAAAAAAAAAAAGGGAAAAAAGTGATAAAGTACAGGTAGACCTCGACTTACAACAGTTTGCTTAGTGACTGTTTGAAGTTACAATGGCACTGAAAAAAGTGCCCCCCAAGCCACAGCCAAGCAAAACACCTGCCTGCCCGCCCGGCGACGCTCTTCCTCCTGTCCGAGGTTTTCATTGTTGTGAGCATTTCTGTTGAGGATTGGCAGTGGGGGTGAGGTGGGTGTTTGGTTTTTATTCCCGTCTGCTGGGTGGTTGCAGCAGGTTTTGGTCATTTCACATGACCCTGGGACACTGTGACCATCATAAATATGAATCAGTTGCTAAGCATCTGAATGTAAATCACAAGACCCTGGAGATGCTGCAACATTCCAGCTGATTGGTGCTACTTCTGGGCTCAGCAGAAGCGCCGGGATCAGTGCTGAGCTCCAGCTGGAGCCTGGCGCTTCTGCTGAGCCCTGACAGCCGTGCAGCTCCAGCCATCTCTTGCTCAGGCTTGTGCGGTGCTGCCACCAGTTCAGCTCATTCCCCTCCCCCGCTACCACTTTTCTAGGATGGTCGCGTACCAACTGCCAGATGCCAATGTACCACAGGTGATACCCGTACCGCTGGTTGAAAAGCCCTGCTCTAGGAGAAAGCTCATACTTTCGGTAGCGCATCACTGTGTACAATATCCTGCAAAGAAAAACGGAGAGGCCATCAATCACACAACCAAGGGAGCTTCTCACCCAGGTTAAATATCAAAGACTTCAACTAAGTGAGACAATTGTTACACAAACTTCATGACGTAACCCTTGGTTACTGAGGAAAATACTCTAAACCAGGAGTCTTCAAACTTGGCCCTTTTATGACTTATGGACTTCAACTTCCAGAATTCCTCAGCTAGCTTGTTGAAGTCCACAAGTCATAAAAGGAACAAGTTTGACGACCTCTGCTCTAAACACAAACCAGTCCACGCCCTCCTACTCAGCCCTAAGCCTAAGTGATTGACTGCGATTCCAGTCATTGAAAAATTAAGCCCACACGCAGCAAGAGAAGCTCTAAGCTTCTCTGGAAAAAGTGCAAAGAAGAGCAACTAAGATGATTAAAGGCCTGGAGACTAAAACATGTGAAGAACGGTTGCAGGATTTGGGAATGGCCAGTCTACAGAAAAGAAGGACTAGGGGGGGACATGGTAACAGTATACTAGTATTTGAGGGGCTGCCACAAAGAGGAGGAGGTCAATTTATTTTCCAATGCACCAGAAGGCAAGACAAGAAACAATGGATGGAAACTAATCAAGGAGAGAAGCAACCTGGAATTAAGGAGACCTTCGTAACAGTGAAGGCAATTAACCAGTGGAACAGCTTGTCTTCAGACATCGTGGGCTCCATCATTGGAGATTTTTAAGACGAGACTGGACAGTCACAGATGATATAGGCCTATATTATAGGGTCTCCTGCTTTGGCAGGAGGCTGGACTAGGAGAACTGCAAGATCCTTCCAGCTAGATTCTGATTCTAAGCACTGACATATAGTAGAAAGAACGTCAGGCGCTTACTCTAGTTCCGCCCTCGTTGGCAAGGTGATGGTGCTCCCAGAGAAGAGCTGATTGGCCAATATTCGAATCTAGTCTTCGATTAACGGCAATTATGCAGGTTCCCTTTGGAGGACCAATCCATTCCCCACCGAAAGCCAATTGGCTAAGAGCCTCCCTGTTTTTGTGAGTCGGCCAATTCTTTCGTCGATAAGGACGGTGCCATCTAATTTTAAATAACCTACTCCCCTCCCCCACGCGATCCTCCTTTTTAACTGTGATGTCGTTTGTTAACGCCCCTTACTAGATGTTTTTTTTTTTTTTTAACTGTGCTGTTATTCAGTCGGTTCTTTTTCCCGCTAGGAAAAAAACGTGGGCCTGTCAGTTTCCAAAACTCGATAGGCCCTCACCCACGCTTCGTCTCCGCTGACTAGTCAAAACGAAACGCAAGCTAGCTGTCGATTCCTGGTAGGTTAATACTGTTTCATCAGCCGCTCGTAAAAGCCTGTTTGAACCATAGAGACGGCGAGATGGAAGGAATTCCCACGAAAGAGCTGTAATGCCCTTTTTCAAGATGGCAGAGTGGGTTCGCTTTCCCTTTTTACTGCTTTGAGGTCTCGCGGGGTTTCACTAAAAGGATGGTGCACGGCGCGTGGGCCTGTAAGTGACGCCTTACCGTTTTTTTGCCGTTCTGGTAATCTGAAACGGGAAGGGAGGGATGAAGAGAAAGGCGGAGTTGAAGTTCACCGGCCTGGGTTCCGCTGCGGCTGGCCTACCGGGGAAGAAAGAGCCTGGGCTTCAGATGGCCTGCTGTACGCAAGTGGGCAGAGACTTGACGAGGCCAAGAGGGAGGAGGCCGCTCCACCCCCTTTCCTTATGGGTCCTGTGGCCCTTTGCTTTTTCTACGTAGCATCCTCGTTTGGGAAAAGCCAAGTGAAATGAAATAGCGACAGGGATCTGCCAAATGGAGAGAAGCTTCTCCTTCTCCCTTTGCAAGGACAGCGCTCAGTCACTGACACCCCAGCGAGCAATAAAGAGCATATAGGTATTCTGGAGTTTGCTGACAGTAGGGTAGATTTAGGTGGCTGGTGGGTTCGTCTGACCTGTTTTGGAAAGGTTCTAGGAGAACAGAATCGGGCGGTATAAAATTTGAATTAATAATTGTTGTTATTTATGTGTTGCAGCGAAAACACTAATTGTTAAGTGGTGCCCAAATACTAATGTGTTTATTCTATTCATCCATTACAGTTCTTCCACCCTTCTGTTGTCTTATGTTTTCTTTGGCCACCTGCTCTGCAGACCTGCAACTTAAAAAAAAAAAAATGCAGGCTGCTGGAAATTATGCATCTATAATCTAATTACACAATTTAAAGTTTGTATTTTGAAGGCTTCTTCCATTATTGCATAGAAATCAAGCATTGTATATGGGGGTGCCGATTACTCTTCACTGTGTTTCTATTCTACAATGCTTTTTTCTTCATATCTATGAAAAAATGCATTCTGTTTGGGCAGCATTTCTTTGCACATGTTTAGGAGAAATTAAAGTATGCAGGATTAATATTTAAGAATGTATACAGTACTCCTGGAAATACAAGTTTAGTTTAAATAAGCTTTGCAGCTAAGTCAATTTTTTCATAGACTACAGTTTTTGAAAAGATGCAGAGAATTTCCATTGTGTATAATAAAGACCATAAATAGTTAAAAGTTGATAGTGCAGAGCAGATTTAATGTAGTTGTGATTAATAACTTGTTATATTCAGCTGCAAATGGCTCCAAAAATATCTTTGAGAAGAAATGGCTCCAAAAAAATACCTTTGAGAAGATTGTTACTTGGGAGTATTGCAATTTCCACCAGTGGAAAATATACATTTATTCATTTAATACATATATTTCCACATTCCAAAGGCTTGTGTGATATCATAATAGAAAAACAGACTAATTGAGAAATAATGGTCAAAACTATTAACTTTAATAAATTATAACCAGAAATATTAAGTATATCCACTAGAAATCTTAAACGTTTCTCTGAATAGGTCAACTTTTAAGGAATTTATAAAGGATAAGAATAATGGAACCACTGAGATTTTTGGTAGGATGGCATTCCACGTGAGGTTTCAATTGCTGAGAAATAAGATGTTCTTATTTTTCCCTAGATCTTATATGGAGAAGGGACCTTCAGCAATCCAAATAAAGGTCGGTGTCCTGAATAGATAGAAGCTATTTCAAGCAGATGATCCTGAATTATTTTAATTTATATAGGCATCCAGTTGTCATGTGAATCAGGGCATTGTACACAACTGCAGAATATTACAATATAATTATATACAGAGACAACTTCATTGAATCAAAAATAATTTAAAAATAGTTAAGGTGGTAATAAAAAATGCTGGCCAATTCCTCTGGGAAAAGTGAAGTCTTAAGAGCCTTTCAAAAACAAGGCAGGGGCAAGACCATCTAAATCTCAGCAGGCATGAAGGCAGAAAAGACATGCCTCCTAAATCCTACCAGATGACACAACTTACATGATAGGTGCATGCCTATTTTTTCAGATCTTATTGGATGCTAAGCTGAAGTTGGGTTTTAATTCATTTTGAATTTACCTGATGTTCAAAATTGAGCCCAGTATTATGTATGAAAAGTAGCTTTCACCTGCAAACAAGTAAGCTATTACACTTTGGTCCAGCTGTAGCTTCAAAGTAGTTTTAAAAGGTAGCTCCTGTAGAACAGGGGTCCCCAACCTGTGGGCTGCAGCCTGGTAGTGGGCTGTGGGCCATGGGCCACGGGACAGGCTAGCCACCCCGCTGCTGCAGGGTGTGAAAATGGGCTGCCACCATGCTGTGGGGCACAAAAATGGGTGCCGCTGTGGGGTATGGAAATGGCGCTGTGTTGTGCAAGAACGGGGCAGGGCTAGTGAGTATCACGGCACTAGCCCCGCCCTGTTTACATCGTGCATGTGCTCGCGGCCACGTGCACGTACACACGGGTGTAAAATGCTTCCCCCTCCCTTTTCCTCTGGTTCGCCAACTGAGAAAGTTTGGTGACCTGTAGAACATAATGCAGTTTAATCAGGAGATGGCAGTGACATGGCTTTGTTACTTTTATTTGTCTTTTAGGTTATATCACTGAGAATTGTAACAGTGAGATGGGCAGTATGTAAATTTAATAAAATATGCTTTATTGCATAAATATTGTTTTAAAATCTGTATTGTTTGGGGAAATATTAGTTACCTCTGTCAATGTTTTATTCACTTTAATGAGACAGTTTCATTTCCAGATAGGAGCATATTTATTTTAAAAGTTAATAGTTACATTCAGTCCCATTTGAAGTTATAATGGTGTTAAAAACCCATTGAAAAAAATAACTTTACAGTCAGTTTATGATCTTCGCAGCATCCCTCAGTCATGTGATCAACATTCCAGACAGTACATATCCTGTGTGGGTGTTTATTTTTCCCCTTGCAAAGTAGAGAGAAAAGGATTGCAAAAGAGTTAGCTGTTTATTCTTCTACACATCAAAGGCAATGCAATTATGCTGGCTGCAGGAAAGGGTCAATCAAAAGAGAGCCTTTTTTCTACCCCACTCCTCTCCCCTTTAGCAGAGTGGAGAAGTCAGTCTTAGGCTGCCAGTGTGATTGCATTGCTTTTGACAGTCAGCAGGCATTTAAGCATTCCAAAGGGTGGGGGAATGGTAAGGAGGCAAACAAAAGCTAAAGGTGTGAAACTGAGTAGTCTTGTCTCTTCTAGCTGGACAGCACAGTCATATAGTGTGTGATTTCCCATTTGATTATTGTTTTGCTTAGTGGTGGAGTTGCCAATCCATGTTACAATAGTTAAGGGAGAAAAACTTGTATAACATTTTTAAAGTTTTTGAATTAAAATTCTCATTTTCATTGGTGGTGCTATTTCAGCTAACATCTCTCTTCTTTTTCAGCTTTTGATATAGAGTGACTTTAAACAGGAATTATGGCAGCTTTGGATAAAATAAAAGCAAAAAAGACTCTGGGAACTGTTGATTATGTGGAGTCATCTGAGTTTGCACAAGGAATTCTGCCTACAAAGAAGGATGTCATTCAAAACATGTTGTATTTGTTGCATCCAAAAAGGGCTGGTCAAGCACAACGATCCAAAGAAGATGCTGCCCAGTTGCTTGCTGAACTTTTGCAGGAACATTGGTTGTTTTGCAATCTATATACCATAGCAACACAGAGCATAAAGAAGCATATTCTGAATGTATATGAAGAATTCTCAAAGTTATACCAATCCAGAAAACGAAGAAAAAATGAACTGTTTATTCAGAAAGCAGATGATTTCAATAGGAGTTCAGAACAGCTTTTTGATATATTTTGTACAGACACTGTTACACGAGAGAAATTGGAGCAGTACAGTGGTGTTAAGATGACAGATACTGAATGGAAATTCCTTGAAGATCAGAGGAATGAAAGAAAAATGTACTTTGAGGACTTCATGGACAAAAAACAAATGGAAACAATAGAAAGACGAAGAAAGGTTGAATCATTAGAGCATTTTAGGAAAATTGCAGAGGAAGAGAAAGAAGTTCGTAAGCGTAAAGAAATGACTTCAAACAGGGATGAACACCCAGTTGAAGATGTTAATAAGAATAAAGATGACTCCTGTCTTGAATACAACAAAGGAATTGGAGGGTTTTCAGATAAAGCAAAAAGAAAGCGTCTGTCTTCTTGTTGGGTAACTGGGACTGCAACTTCAACCACTTACAATGAATCGGTTCCTTCTGAAAATCAGCATCTACGTATGAATATCAGAAAAGTCAGACCAGGATTCTATGAGACTTTTGACAAATACAAGAACTGCTAGTTTGGTATCTAAACTCTCTGGAGGAGAGAATTAACTTAGATCTTAAAGTACCCAGATTATTTGGGAGTTGGTGTAGATAATTATGTTGGGCTCCCTTATTGTGCAACAACAGCACCAAAAGGATTGGTAGAAATAATCCATGGAAAAGATTAAGATGATAGTCATTTAGTTTTATAGCAATATATTCACAAAGAGAAAGTGTTAGTTATGAAAAAACTATATCATTAGCAAAAGAAGTCTGAAGTTCCAATGCTTATAAGCTTAAAAAAATAAAGTAGACGTGAACAGGTTACATTCCATGAGAATAATGTATGTATTTCAACAACTGCATAGGAAGATAATTCTTTATCCGTTATGTACAGCATTTAAATCAAACTAAAAACCTTTTGCTAAAAACATAATATGGAGGTCTGAGAAAGAAAAAAGTGAAGAGTAAATTAAATAATGTGTTCTATTCCAGCTCTGCATCTTTGGAGATTGGAAGATCATATCCAATTTATTAACATAAGTAACTAAACATGGCTATTGAAAGGAACAGAATTCATAGTCTGTGTAACATTGGAATATTGAGGATCACAATAAACTGCAAACTCAAACCATGACAACTAAAATTGTGTCCCTTAAGAAAAATAATAATTGGTCCCAGTGATTCATAAAGTGCTGTTACTTTCTAGAGGAAAAAGAAAACAAATACTTATCTGACCCTAAGAGACATAGTATATATAACTTGCAGTTAATACACTGAGATTCAAATGGTTTTAGGTAATTGCACAAAAAGTAATTGGTTGCTTATTTGACCTAGTAGATAAGTAGTTGCTAAGAGACCCTACACTTTGGCAAACCAATTCTTGTAGATAATTTGATAGCTTGTTGAAAGAAAACAGGAATTTTAAACAATGGCTTTAGATATTGGTGTACTGGTGATAGCTATCATTTTTCTGAATTCTTGGCAATTAAATAACTTGGTTGTAATTATGTCAAAAAATAAAATCTGTAGTTAAAAGTAAGACGTGAAGATGTATACACACAATATGACAAAATAAGGTGAACTTGCCTAAAAGTTAAAGAAAAAAGTCTCACACTGATAATTTTGACTGTAAACTGTGATGTTTGCAACAACAGAAATATCTATATACTTAATCATACTAACTGACTTTGTATTTAAGTTGTTGATTCTTTAAAGTTTTAAAACTTAAAATAGTTTCAAATCTTTACCTTATAATACTAGAGTAGTCCCATGGCAAGATAGACAGCAAATGAATTCAATAATATTTTAATAATAATTCTGCATAAATTAGGTAGATTCATTGCACGAGCTGTGGTGGCACAGTGGTTAGAATGCAGTATTGCAGGCTAACTCTGCCTGCAGCCAGGATTCAAACCTGACTGGCTCAAGGTTGACTCAGCCTTCCATCCTTCCGAGGTCAGTAAAATGAGGACCCAGGTTGTTGGGGGCAATAGGCTGACATTTGCAAACTGTTCAGAGAGTTGTGTAAAGCACTATGAGTGATGCATAAGTCTAAGTGCTATTGCTATTACATATTTTTGCTTCATTTCACACATCTGAAAGCTTTTTTCTGTATTTTTAGCCTAGGGTTTTCCATTTACTCCTTTATAACAACATGACTACTAAAATAAACAGTACACACAGGAATATATGATTTAAAAAATCCAAAATGGTTTTAATTATGTAATTGTTTTGTAAAGAAAGTATCAATTTGAATACTAAAATAGCAACTAATAAGAGCACTGTCAGAATCAAGCATATTGGTTAACTGTGTGCCCCTGAGGAGTCTCCAAATAAGGTGCTGTATGTTGACAAAACTACTATTACAATTGTTCTTTAGATACTGGAATTCAGAGGCATAAACATCCTGAAAAATGGTAGTGGAAAACCACCTGCTTAGAAAACTATGTAGTCCTCAGGAATGAAGCTTTACTCTAAATTCTGGTATTTGGAGCCATATAACTTCTTATTCATATTCTGATACTCCAAGAATGTTTTGAATCTTCCTTTAAAATCATCTAAAAAGTGACTTGTTTTGTAAAAATGAATTTATATGATCAAGTTAAGTGGTGTATTATGTGGAATAACTTCTTGAATTTCCCGCCATTCACCTTCACCTGATCTCAGATTCTGGTGTTATGAAGAAGAAAACAGAAAATTAGACTTAGTTGAGAAGCTTAGTAAATGGGGGAAATGAGTCATGGGTCTTACTTTTTCTTTGAAAGTCCTAAAGATTAAGGAATATACAAAATAAATCACTTGAGATGTTTTTATATAGGATATAGTATACAAATTTTAGAATAATGGAAACTGAGAATGAAATCTTGAGAATGGGAAATGTATACCTCCTAGTTTAATTCCTTTATACATGCCTTTTACAGCTAAAGAAAGATGATGCAGTATGTTAACTTTGTATTAAGCTTACTTGAGCAGTACCGTGATCAGCTACAGAATAATTAGTTGCATGACCAAGACAGTTATTCATACAAATGTAAGAAGGCTCTGAATTAAGAGTTTTAATTGTTTTATAAACTGAAGTTTTTTTTCTGGCCAAGAATAAAATTGCTTAAAAGCAGCATTCTGAATATTTGCTGTGCTTTTCATCAATATATTAAAGCTTTGTTGTCTTTATGAATATTAAGAGCATCAGCATCTCCCTGACCTAACTTTAATTAGAAGATGCTTCTGTTCCATTTGTCAATTTGTTGAAGTTGAAACTGGAGATTGAGCACAATTTTATTTTCTCTCAAACCTTTGCGGTTTTTCCTTTTCTTTTGATTTCTAACTTGCAAATCTGTTTCTAATGCTGATTCTGTCACGTGAATAAACATCTCTGATTGCTGCTGTTTCCTGTTTTAGGTCTGATATAGAAAGCATTCACCATGCACCCTGGAAGAAGAGAATAAATGCTTATGATATAACAGTCTCTATAATCTACTGTTGCATTGCAGAATAATAATTGATGTCTGACACTCACTGAAACGGTGATTGGGAACCAATCCAACCTTGGAGGATACCCTAACCATAATGTTGAGTCAACTACTTAGAAGGCCTGCCTCTTAATCCTACTTCTTTGTCATTATATGGGAATAGAATCAGAAATTTGATGCTTGGCTTGAATGAACAGAATCTTTGTTGACAAGGCATTTTCTAATGTATCACACACGGTCATATCAATTAAGTTAAAATACATGCAAATTCCCAGTCAGAATTTGCTAACCAATTGGGATTGCAAATATTAATAAGCTCTGATAGCAAATTCACATGGATTCCCCGCAGCTGAATCATTCAGAATCTGCAGCTGACACAAAATAAGTCCAGCTTTTGGGAACAGGAACTCTTGTATTTGTCCAAAGTATGTGTGTACCTGTCCATATTTTTCTAAATATGCTCAGAGCATGTACACATGCAATAGGGTTCACTAATGCTAACTTGCTTGGGCCAGTTGGCACATTTGCAATTTTGAGATTATGCCCCAGCACTCTTACAAATAACTATGAGACTTACTCTCCGCCATTCCCTATAGCCCTTATGATGCCCCTTGCTACCTTAGTTTGCTTTTAGGTTTTTTGGGGTGCACATGCATACTTTATAGCTCAGGGTTGCAGCCTCTCATTTAATATGGCAGTTTTGAAAATAAGCTTGAGGCTGCTACTATATTTGTATTACACCAGTTTATTGTGTGACTTTATTAAAGAGTAACAAAATAATGGAGCCTGGTGATCACCAAGAAAAGAGTCAGCAGATATATTGGGCTTCATAAGGAGAATAAAATTTAGGGCTTACATAAAATATCCCATTCATATTGTTTACAACTGTCAATATAACATTGCTAATTATAGTGCAGTCTTTATACTTCATTTGATTTGTATTTCTCTAGTTCAGCGGTTCTCAACCTGTGGGTCGCGACCCCATTTGGGGTCGAACGACCATTTCACGGGGGTCGCCAAACAACACGATCCGCCATTTTTTTCTCAGCCGGCGCAGGGGGGCGGCACCGCGCATGCACGCCACGCAGGGGCTGCCGCCGCGCATGCATGCCGCGCAGGGGTGGTGCTGTACGTGCGCGCTGCGCAGGGGGCGGCGCCGTGCATGTGTGCCGCGCAGGGGTGGCGCCGCGCATGCGCGCCACCTGCTCATGACCGGGGTCGCCGGTCTAAAAAGATTGAGAGCCACTGCTCTAGTTCTTTGCTAAACACAATTCCTAGATGTGATGGCAAAGCTTTATTTTGGTGAATGATATAATTTTTCATTAGCTTATTCTAAACTATAGAATAAATAAATAAATAAATTCTATTTATTTATATTTATCAAATTTAGAAACTGACTAACTTGCTCACAGAGTGATTTTGTTAGGAGCACTTTCTTATGCAAAAATGAAGGGTGGGGTTTGATTTTGCTTACCCAAGAGGATTCCAAGCCCTCGTTTGTCATGTTTCCTTACCTTTATGTGACCAACTGGCTCAACTATTTTTCCAAACCCTTCATACAAAATTGCCTTCATATAAAATTTAATCAAATTCTTGATTGTTTTAACTTAATACTTTCTACAACAGTTCTCCCATTCCGGTATATAGCATTATACTGGCCAGAATTCACATGCTATCATGATTATGGGAATTGTAATTCAATATATGTTAAAGTAATGTGTAGCATCAAGTCATTAATCATAGTTTATAAATAGTGAATGGAATTGTATGAATCAGATGAGCAATGTAGTTAAGTATGAATGAATTCAATCCTTAACTAGTAACAATCCTCAATGATTTTAGGTAAGAGTCCTTCCCAGTGCCAATTTCAGCTGAAGAACTATGAGTACTACAAAATGGAATGAGAGAAAAGTTAAGCTAATACATTTAGCAAAATGTAATGAATGGAGAATTAAATAACTAAGGATTACTGGCGAATAGGTTAAAAGGAATTCACTGTTAAAATAGTTATCTGAGTTAGTTTTCCTAAAGCCAAAATACATCAACAATCCTCAGGATGATCTGAGTTGTATATTTTTATCTTATTTCTTTGGTGATCATTATTGTGGGCTTTTCCTGCTTTCATTTTAGCGAAGACATAATGATTAAATACTATGGAAAGTCAATGAATTTTTGTAATAATTTAAAGTGCTAAGAGACTAATTACATACTTGGAAGTAGTGGTATTTTTATTTTTCATGAAATGCAGTTTCTGATCCAATTCTCATAGAACTAGCATATAATAGAACTCACAGCTTTTAGCTGTCACCCTGATTTTCATGGAGTGAAACAGTGTTAGGTTTTCTAAAATACTAAAATTCTAGGAAGTCCATTAAAATTCTGAAAAATGAGCCAATGCACAGATAATCCTAGGATTTTATTATTAACAAATAGCTTTAACCACATTATTTTATTACTATAACAAAAAACTTTAACATTACATTATTATTAAATAGCTTTAACATTACTTAAAACTGTGTAGAAAAAATCTGAATAGCCTAGCTTCTCATTCCTTTCTTCCTTGAGCAACATTTTCCCCAAGTCAGCTGAAATAAAATGTCATTTGGTGCTGAAAAAATGCTAAAGAGACATAGATTTAGGCTTGAAACTCAACATTAAGAAAACCAAAATCATGGCATCTGGCCCTCTCAATTCCTGGCAAATAGATGGGGAAGAAATGGAGATAGTGACAGATTTTATTTTTCTGGGCTCCAAGATCACCTCAGATGGGGACTGCAGCCAAGAAATTAAAAGACGCTTGCTCCTGGGGAGGAAAGCTATGGCAAATCTAGACAGCATACTAAAAAGCAGAGACATCACCCTGCCAACAAAGTGCGTATAGTCCAGGCCATGGTTTTCCCAGTTGCAATGTATGGCTGTGAAAGTTGGACCATAAGAAAGGCTGAGCGCCAAAGAATTGAGGCCTTTGAACTATGGTGCTGGAGAAGACTCCTGCGAGTCCCTTGGACTGCAAGGCGTTCAAACCGGTCAGTCCTAGAAGAGATCAACCCCGACTGCTCTTTAGAAGGCCAGATCCTGAAGTTGAAACTCAAATACTTTGGCCACCTAATGAGAAGGAAGGACTCACTGGAGAAGGGCCTAATGCTGGGAAAGATTGAGGGCAATAGAAGAAGGGGACGACAGAGAATGAGATGGCTGGATGGAGTCAGTGAAGCAGTAGGTGTGAACTTAAATGGACTCCAGAAGATGGTAGAGGACAGGAAGACATGGAGGAACGTTGTCCATGGGGTCGTGATGGGTCGGACACGACTTCGCAATTAACAACAACAACAACAACAACAACAAAAAGTTATACATGTTCAATCACAATTTTTTAAGTGGAAATATAAAGATACTCAAATATCCAGCTATGCCTGATCATTTGCCAACATCTATCTATATACTAACAAGCTCATCCTCATTCTGGATATAAACACCTAGATTCTATTGTGAATATCTCTTAGGCCACTTTCCAATTAATTATATTGCAATGCCAGATTCTCCCTATACTGACTTTCCTTATTCTGGTACTTTCAAACGTGTGAAGACCACAACTCCAGAATTACAATTTAGTATGGAAACCACAGACTAAAAAAGACTGCTGTAAGCTCTGACTGCTCTTGACTTGCACTTTGTCACTCCACTAATATATATTTTTGTATTTTTAATTACATTATGGCAATAATGTCTCAATTAACATGAATATAGGAGCTCAATATGATTATATTCCTGATTACGATCGTATGTTTGCAATATAAGCAATTTAATTTGCAAGTCTGTCATGCAAGTTATGGAGCCTTATCAAAACTGTAAGGAACCAGGGGTGGGGTGGGGTGGGGTGGGGTGGGGACCCAGCACTTCCCCATCCACAGTACAACCTGCTCATTTTCCAATCAAGAAAGGTAATACACAGTGTGTGCAGATGACACAGGGTGGAGTGAAATACTGTAAAAGAAACACAATATTTCAAATAAAAAAGCAGTTTAAATAGGTTTAACTAGACTAGAGAGATATTTTATTTTCCAGATTCATCAGAATGTTATCACGGAGTTTCTGTTGGTATCTTCAATAACATTTTGTTGCTTTTGTTCCACAAACCACCTCCTCCCTCCTCATCTATCCTTATTTCCAGATGGAGCAATATAAAGAGCACAAGGAACTGTGGAAATCAGATACTGCGTTGATTACCATTTAGAAGGTGAAACCAACAGCGCAGTATTTCTTGATTATTAGGACAGCCTGGCTAAGCATGCTAAAGCTGAATGTTTTAGAAATATTGAAAAAAAATGAAAAACAGCAACAACCAAGAAGTCACTGGAAAAGACAAATTATAGGCAGAAGCATAATCTTTTTGCAAACTATGTTTGCAAGTCTTATGTTCCAAAGCAAGCAAGGCTGGCAGCAATGTTCATGAAATAACTGATAATCCTCCAGAATATCTTACTTTAGAACTGGGGTTTAAATAATCTTCAGGCATTTTTAATAAGGTTTGGTTCGTGCAAAGTTGATCCAAAAATAAACTTGGAAGATTAGCTTACTCATTCTGGACATATCTTTCTGTTCCAGGATGTCCCATTTCAACAGAGCATTAGGAGAAGGAGATTTGAGAAAATTACTGAAAATTTACCGCACAGAGATTTCAATGGCAGTGGATGATGTCTTCCCATTACTTCATGGGCTTGCTGATCATGAAGTTGTCACTGAAGAGATGTTCAAGGTGAGAGAGGAGAAAAAAATTCCAGGTACTATATAACCCTTCAGTACATAATACTGGAATATATCTGTTTCTTTTAAGCCATTCATTTATTGTGTTACAATAATTTGCATATCTGTTGTTTTATTTTATACAATATTATGTATAACTCATGTTCAACTACAGTTTTGCTGATCTATCTCTCACTTTTTAATTTTGGCATTTTTATTTTTCATTACTGCATTTTCTCTTTCATTCTGTGCAAATTATTGAAATGTGATGATTTTTCAGACTACTTTGTATAAACTTTTATTTGAGCAGGTATGGTGAAAAATCAAGAGTCTGAAACTGTATATCCTGGGTATTAACTTTTAGTATCAAGGTATGAATGGAAGTGTTGTTTCCGAGTTTATACATCAATGTTTATGAATATAGTTTGAAATAACTGCAAATGGCTACAAAGGAATGCCTGTCTAAAAACATTAGTTTAGGGAGAGAGTAATCTGAGGATACTGTTGACTTTTCCCCACACTTTTAGCATTACAGTATTTGCCTTTTGCTTCAATTTCTATAGCACTTTCAAGATTACTTATAATTCCAAAAAGCTCATATTCAATTTTCCTCAGTTTCTATTTTTTTCCAAAATAAATTTCATTTTAATTTTTTCTTTATTATATTGCAAATAACTGCTTACTTTATAAATATTGTATTCATTATGTATTATACTATGTTCTATTTATTACATTATATTATTGGATGTTCTCCCCAATATACATTCCTTTTGCATGAAATTTTCTGCATACTAAATCTCTTTTTATTTATTTAATTTATTTGCTGCCCATCTAAGCGATTCTGGGGGACTTTTTGCACATCTAAATACCATTGATGTAAAAAACATCTAATATACTGTATATTAAGGTTGAAGTCATCCTAAAAATATACAGTTTGTCAGATTTAAATTATGCTGCAAAATTCAGAAATACCAAATATCAAAATATAATTTTTTGCCTTAGTTGGTGATGTGCAAATTACATAAATAGCATTAAAATTATTTCTCCTCATTCCTTGTTTTTAAAATAGAATATTCAAAACGTTGAGGCTATGACCATCCTTAATTACCTACTACTCAAGAAGATAGACTATACCAAATAATATATATGTTAAGCATTTTAAAGAAATAAAATCTATTTGAGAATTATGTCAATGTTGCATTTCTTTTTGTCTTGAAGGACACTCTCCACCTGAAGGAAACTGAAGGTTGCCACAGGGCTTTTTACACCATGTTGACATGGTTGCTAAATCAGGATTTATCTTCCATAGAAGATTTCTGGAGAGTCCTTTTCAAAGAATACAACCTGGAGAGGTATTCCAAGCTTCAGTCCATTTGGAACAACTTTCCTAAAGGTATAAGATATTGTCATCATGGCCTTAAAATTAAATTTATAGGAGACAGCGAGAATGTGTGAATGATAGGTAGTATAGAAATTGGAAATTATGGGAGTAATCAAGTTGTATCTAATTGACTGAATATGGTTCATACTAAAATTAGTGTATTTGGGACATGTCCAGCATATCAAAGTGATTTTAGTATAACCTAAAATTCAAGTTTAATTTAAAGCCAGCCACTTGATACAATGATGAAAATGTGAGTTAACAATAGTAGAACATTTATAAGATCTATCCTGTGACATGTATTTTTCTCTGCTAAGGAAGAAATTAGCTTCTATGGTTGAAGACAAATTTCCATAACTGTACGCAAGAATCTCAGTCAGTCTCAGTACTTTCCTTGTTTTCAGATATGGATTTCAGCAGGCATCGCAGAACAAAGAAACTTGGCATTAATAATCCAAAGATTGTGACTCAGCACAAATCCCAAGGAAAGAGAAAGATGACAGAAGAAAAAGACTCTTTGCAATTAACTCAACCTCTAGGTAGTATCAGAAAACTGATCCGCACCTTGGTATAGAATTATGTACTATGATTTTACTGTAGCTGTTGCAGTTTAACTAAAATATGAAAAGAATGAGTTTAAAGAATAAAAGAAAACCCTTCCCCCTCCCCAAAACAAGTATCTCAGAAGAGGAATCCATTGTAATGACATCATACTGCATTTTTCTCTTTTTATAAAAATAAAGGCAACATGCAGTTGGAGTTAAACATTTTCTTTCCATTTGTTTTCTATACTAATGGTTCTCAAGCTTCTGAGAAAAGTGTAGTCCCTAATAAATAACATATAATAAGATTTATTGTTACAGGTAGTCCTCGACTTACAACCATTTGTTTAGTGACCAAAGTTGCAACGGCATTGGAAAAAGTGACTTATGACTGTTTTACACTTAAGATTGTTGCAATATCTTTGCAGTCATGTGATCAAAATTCAGGCATGTATTTATGACAGTTGCATTGTCCTAGGGTCATGTGATCATCATTTGTAACTTTCCCAGCTGGCTTCTGACAGGCAGTCAATGGGGAAAGCCCTATTTGCTTAATGACCACATGGTTCACTTAACAACTGCAATGATTCACTTAACAAATGTGGCAAAAAAGTGAGCAAAACTCACTTAACAACAGAAATGTTGGACTCAATTGTGGTCGTAAGTTGAGAACTACCTGTATTGGGCATTTTGCAAAAAAAAAAAAAAGATAATTTCTGTTTTCAGTATTGCAAACTGTCTTATAAATCAACAGGGTCCTTTCCTAAAACAAAAGCTGTGAAGAAATCAGAAAATGCTGAGCTACAACATTATTCTCTTCCAAGTGGTAAGTTTATCACTTTGCTATGCTTGTTGAATACCCTAATCCAAATGGTTGGACTACTTCTGTGAAATGATCTGCCCATCAAAATAAAATTTAAAACCATGAACAATCTTGTTTCATTATCAGATCTCATTAGATTTTGAAATTTCTCCCTGAGATCTCAGAAAGGAACAAACAATTTCACAATAATTTGATGTCCTTGATTGGAGACTTGTCAATGTTATATATTGAAATGTCACATGACGTGGTCAAGTTTTAGATTTAATTTTGAAGTCTTCTAGTCTTTGAATAATCTATCCAACATTATCTTTATACTATGCCTTAATGTACTGCTCATTCAGATATGATTCCAAGTCATCATTTAGAATTCTGAATGGCTAAGATATTGTTCAACATACAAATTATTTGTTTAGCCAAGGGGCCTATATATTACATTAGGTGGGGGGGGGAATGACATGAAAGGCTATTCAGTAACTTTTGTTGAATTGGCTTATCGTTGTAGCAGTTGATCTAAGCTGTCTTTTGGTGATTTTATTTAAGTCTGCTCTTTGCATGTAAGAAAACTGATTGATTATAAGATTCAAATAAAAACAAACAGATCATTAATTCCATATTATCTGTAGCCATCTCTCCACAATTCTCCTACCCAATCTAAAGAACCTTCTAATTGCTAACTATCCTCTTCAATGAGCCAGTTTAGTGTAATGGCTAAGGCATCAAGCTAGAAACTGGGAAAGCATTTCTAGTCCCATCTTAGGCACAAAGCCAATTGGGTAACCTTGGCTTTGCCCTCAGAAGAAGGCAATGGCAAACCACTTTTGAAAAATCTTGCCCCAAAAATTGAAGGGACTTTTTCAGACAGTGTCCAAGAATCAAACACAATTGACAGAAGAAACTGATAAGGAGAATATTTGTAGCTCAGTGTTGAAATTAGGGTTCCTTGGTGCTCTCTGAGCTTGGATGTTTTCTTGCAGATTTTTCATTACCCAAACTAGGTAACATCATCAGTGCTAGTACGGAGTGGGGTTTGCTCTTAATTTATATTCTAGTGGTTTGCCTTGTTGGGGTTGGTGGGAGTGGTGTTGGAGTTTCTTTGGTTGGGCTGTTTATTATTAGCTTCCTTGACTGAGGTATTATCACTTCTTGATTGTTGATCCAATGTTAATCTTGGTGTTAATCTATGCTCATCTGGGTGTTGATTGCTGGTGGGGAGGTGTTTTGGTCTTTTTGTTCCCTTTTTGGTTTGTTGATTGTCTCTGTTGAACAGTATGTTGACAGGAAAAAAAACTTCAAGCAGAAATAATAGACAATTTCAATGTCAAGATGAAGAATTTGTATTAACTTGATCATTTGATCATTTGATCATTAAGTAGATCTCATTTTTGCAGATGGGGATCTGAGGTATAAAGACGGTGAATCTACTGAACAGTCGCGAATCTAACAGCTCTTTCAAAGTGCTTCATTCTATTTTAATCCCACTGAAACATTGGCACTATGATATTCTCCATATTGTGTTAACCTTTTTCCTTGCTTTGTTGTAAAATCTATACCAAACCTTCCTCATTTTATATTCTGGGCACATGCATAAAAGATGACTATAAGTTACCTTACATTATTTGAAAAAGTTAATTTGGTTTAATATTCCAGTTACAGCTAAGGTTAAACTGTCTCCTAGGAAAGACACGGTTTCAAAGATGTCAAATATGTCTTTTTCTAGGCAACGCTAAGAAATTTGTTAAAGTTGGAGATGAATGTTATACATCAAACACACTGGAAGAACTTGGAGAAAATAAAGCTTATGAAATGAAGTCCAGCATGAATAACAAAGAACCCCAGGTTTCTGAATATGTATAATTATATACTATACTCAATTCTTATTCTCTTTGGATCTTTGGTAGTAAAGAGCAACCTTTGCTGGGCTGGCTTCTCTGTTTAGAGTCAGTCTCACTATGGCAAGGTTATGGTGACCATATGAATCTTCATCCATGGAGATAAATAGGAAACCCAAGAGTCTCTATTAGTCTTATGTACCAATAGCAAGTGTTGCATGCATCTGCCAATCTATATTAAGATGCAAAACTAGGAACCAAACAAGAAAGTGTGAATATGACTATTCAATATTAATAGGTGAACAGCAACAAGAAAAACATTTGCATACTGGTTCCACATACAAGAGGCAGATACATGTGCTTCATACTGCATTGTTTACCTTGCCTATTTGTGGGAAAGTTTGTATGGGATTTTGATGCATTATTTTAAAGCAAAGGAACAAGTAATGGCTCCTGTATGTGTGAAGCCTATATACTCATTCCTTGCTGCCTCACTGAGTCTTGTCAATCACTATTATTAAAAATTACTAAATTACTAAAAGCACAATTTCTCAGGATTTAAGTCAGTGATTCCATGAAACTGCAATGTAAGCCCTTCAATTAACATTTTAAAAAAATACAATAAAGTTTCTAATATTCTCTAAAACTGAAGTGGAAAACAATCTCATACAATTTGCATTATTGTTCCATTTAATATGTTGATACATCATATCCTATATCTTGCTGAGGTAAATAAGAGAGGTGAGATTGTAGACAGAACCTGTAGACATATTTTTGTTGGAAAACTGCTGTTTTAACTAATCCTTTCTGTACAAGTAGTCCTCAACTTACAACCAGTCACCCAGCAGTCATTCGAAGTTACAATGGTAACCCCACTATGACTTATGACCCAATTCTGGAGTTCTGACAGCTGCACAACTCTCACAGTCCCATGGTCACATTTCAGGGGTTTGGCAACAGGCTCAACTTTAGAGCTGGTTGTAGCATTCCATGGTCACATGACTATGGTTTATTTTATTTTATTTTATTTTATTGCAGATTTCTGGTCTTTTTGACTGGTTTCTGGCAAAAAAATGGCCATAGGAATACATTGATTCACTTAAGAATCATGTCATTTGCTTAGTGACTACTACTGCTAAAAAAAAAAGTAATAAAATTGCATCCAGTCATGTGGATGCCTTGGATTATACCTTGATAGCTTACAATCGAAATTCTGGTCTCCATTATGGTTGTACATTGAGGACTACATGTATATGACATTATTCAAATATAAATGAAAAATTTTCATAAACTTTCCTGTGATAGGAACAAGTGGGGACATGATGGGAGTTATCCTGTGTGTTACTAATAGCTAATAGTCTAACTCATTAGCTTTCTCCTAATCTCTAGTATATATCCAACATATAACTTGCTGAATCCATCAGGGTGGGAAGTCCCAGTTTTCCTTCTCTATTTAAACTGGTGTCAGATTCAAAGATGTAGGTTCGGACATGATATATATTTTTTTCCTTCTTAGTTGATGTGCCATTTCTATCAAGATGGAATTCCCCAAGTATTTCAGTTTATAATAACTGCACAAATTATTTTTTTTACCTGCTTTCATAAAAGGTGTTAATAATTATGTTCGTTCTCACCCGAATTGTTTTCAGGTTTACACTTGTCCCTGTATAGAGATAATCAGCAAGGCTTGCACAGATTTGGGGCTCTGTATAACTTGTTAGCTATACTTGGAGACACCTCACTGTTTTTACAGGGTGGGTCTTCACACAGCAGTTTTTATCTCACTCCCAGTCCAGGGTGGAGGGAGCCTACATTTGTCCTTAGTGTTCCAGTTTTAAAACAATATTCTCCATCTTCTCCCACAAATCTTAGTGTGAATGAGATTAGGACATTTTATTCATGATCTTGATGTTGCTGCGGTCAAGAGCTTGCATCTAGTGAGCTTCTGTTGGCTTGTTGAGAATGCCCTTACCATTTGGTCAATATTCACTGCCTTCCATGATTGAGTTACAAAAGAAACTGAATACCTGATTTCTGCAATATCTGACTCAGCCTTTGCAAAGCATCATTCAGGCATTATATAGGTGTTTATATACATTGATATATTGATCTTCTGGAAGACTGTAAGCCTATTATTAAATAAGTCTTCATGGATCTTGAAGAAGATGTTTGTTTAAAAATCGGCTACTGGTCAAAGTAAACTGAGAAATGATAATTTTAACAAAGGTCTGGTGATAATGAGATCTGCAAAAGCAGCCTTGAAAGAAATTGCAAAGAAATTGGTTAAAATTGTAATGTTCTTTTCATTTTAATTATTCCACAATTTGCTGGCCAGAAGAACGATGATGAATGTGCTATCTGTAGGGATGGTGGAGAGCTGATCTGTTGTGATGGATGCCCTAAGGCCTTTCATCTTGGTTGTCTTTTACCACCACTGACAGAAATTCCAAGGTAAAAACAACTTTTATCCGTCTAAATTGAATATAGCCTAGGGTTAGGCCCTACAGATTTACAGCTTTTTGCTTCCTTGAGTGATTACAGTTCTTTGTAGCTTTTACAATTAGTTCCTTAACTTAGTTTTGTAATCTTATGTAGCATGTTCTCACTGAGTTTTGTCATTAATTTTAGGGTGCAGATTAGAATGAAGGCTATAGAAGGGCTTTTTGTTTTTATTATTAAAAAAATATGACAAACACCTGGGTTATAATTAAAAATTACTTACAGTAATCAACACCTCAAAGTAAAAAATGAAGAATAATTGTGAAAAACATAGATAGATAGATAGATAGATAGATAGATAGATAGATAGATAGATAGATAGATAGATAGATGGATGGACGGACGGACAGATATAGCTATTACATTGTTTATATCTAAGGTATCTTCAAGTCAGACCCAACTTCTGAGATCTGTAAAAAATATTCTCCATCTCAATCTCTCCTCACTGGCATTTTGAGAAAAATTGGCACTTTTTACAGAAACATCCCACTGATAGCCTTGATCCCATCTAGCCACCTTATCTATTGTCTTCCTTTCTTTCACTTTGCTTAACCTTGCCAGGTATTCTAGTCTACTGGCATCACAAATCAGAATCAGAAAGCCCAAGTATGTGAATGTCTGTTTACATAACTTCACTATAGTAGCCGTTCTTTATTTTTCCAGGAACAATTTACTGTGGGTTGTTTTTTGCAGACCACATTTCAAATCTATAATTTGAAGATATCTGTTTTATTTCAGTTATTATTTTTCAATGTCCAGTTTTTCAGCTATACATTACCTTTGATAAAGGCTTTGCTTTAGCTACTCTAATCTTTATTGTGCAGATTTGCAGGCATACATCGTGTGCTTTCTGGAAGAATGTTAAAATATGGATGAGGTATAATGAACTGGTTGTGTTACATATTTAATGTATATTTAAATATTGCCTATGTACCTGACATAGGAAGATATGTCAATCAAGGCTATCAACAAACAGAAGAAAATAGCAAGAAAAAGAAAATGAGATGTTGCAAAGGTGCTTTTTCCAAAAGGCAACTGGACTTCCTTGGTTTTTTTTCTTTGAGCACATTTCACTTCTCATCAAGATGAGAAGCAAAATGTTTTCCAAGAAAAAAACCCAAGACAGTCCAGTTGCCTTTTGGAAAAAGCACCTATGGGAAAACCATGACCTGGATAATTGAGAATCTCCATAGATAAGAAAATGAAATATTTTTTTAAAAAATCAGAAATATTGCAAGAAAATGTACAGTTAAGATAGGATTGCTAAACAATAATATTGTGAGAGATCTAATAAAGTAAATAAAGAAAGTAAATAAAGAGGTGAAGTCTTTTGTCATTATTGAATGACAAAACCATTTGTAAACCAAGAATAAGGAACAAATACTATTAGACATGAAGAATGATAGGCTATTGATCAGCTGTCAAGTGGTAAAGCATCAGATACAGAGATAATACCATTGAACTGTTTAAAGTTTTAGAAGTAGTGGTTCATGTCCCAGTACATTTATTTATTTATTTGCCATTTGGGTATGTTTTTCCATTATTACATTGGATCTGCCTCAGTTATGTTCTCGAAATGTCAATATTCACTCATTATCTTCATGATGCTGCCCTTACCTTATCTCCAAGCCTTGAATGAAACAGCTTGAGAACATAATAAGCATAACACTTCTTAACTAATATTTTTCTGCTTAAGTCAGTGCTATTACATCATGGCTTCAAGTAGTGTACAATCTATTTATTTAGTCATGCTTGTGTTGGAGATGAGATCAGCTGACCTGCTGTATATGAGATCAGAGGTGTGTTTAGGAAATGTTGGGAAGTCTGGTCACAATCTCCCAGCCTCTGCTGCAGCCATTTTCTCCCAGTATTTGCCATTTCTATTAGCATATTGATTTCTTTCACATTCATCATCCCCTTTCTTCTTGTTTCTCCCTGTTTCTGAGATAAACTTTTCTTTGGACATCCACCATGGGCAGAGAAAAAGAAAACAGAGTTCCACTATTTTATGATGCAAAAAGAAGAAGCATTTTTGTGCTATACTGCTGGAACAAAATATTCTAAAATGTGTTTCTGCCTTTATATACTATTTTGTGTCTATAGTTGCCCAGCTCAACAAATGACCCTTTTGTCCTACCCTCACTTATTTCACTCCAGAAAATAATGAAGGCAATTAAATAGAGCTTTTTCTGCCATTTTCCTTATATTTATCCATCATCCCACTTCTCAGCCTCCTCTGTAAAAGAGTAGGACAGAACAGCAATTTGATGCATTGGTTTGGTGTCATTTTAAGTATAAGAGCAGTACTGTGTATAGTAACAAGGGCTAGTTCTGCTCCTGGGCAGAATTTGATAGTCAGCATGGACAGCATCCATTGTGTACAGAGAGAAGCAGCAGCCAGATATTAATTGATATTCAGTAATTCCATGTGCATTGTGAGACCCTAAATTAAATATGGAGAATGCTATCCTTATAGCAGTGCTGAATGTGATTTAACTGGGAACTACGTCAAAAAATGTGGATTAAGCGAGATAGCAAAATATCTTCAGCCAGTATTATTTGAAAACACTACTTTGCATGAAAGAAACAGATTATAGATAAGATTTATTTATTTATTTTTCCTTCTTTCTTCCCTTTGTATATTTGATTATACACCTGTCTTTTTATCTTGGAAAACTCATCAGTGGACCATGGAGGTGTGATTCCTGCTCATCTGGGAAGGCCAAAGAGGACAGGAGCACAGAAGAGAAAAAAGAATCCTTTTCTCAAAGTCAGGTATAACTGTGATTTTTGACTTTCCATGTCAGATGGTCATTCTGGCTGGAGATGATAGGAGCTATTACGTCAGATATTAGAGGCATATCAGTTTGGAGAAGGCTGCCATATCTAAGTAGTTCTACAATCTGCTGTTTTCTCCAATGACGGACTGTCCATTTGTTCCTGCATCACAGTTCCAGGTTTCATTCTAGAAAACGAAAACAGAGAATGATTTTTGTTCAAAGCTATGCATAAATAGTTGGTGTACAATGTGATTAAAGAACCTCTGTCAGTTTGAGAATATTTTGAGATAGCATATAACAGATCTGAAATAATTTGTACAATTTGTGTTGCCTTCTTCCTGCAAATATTTTCCTGCTGTAGCTGAATAACGACTGGAGTGTTATTGAATTTTCCTATCTCCTCAGGGTGCTGTTTATGTTCAGAGAACAACTGAAGATGGCAGGAGAATTCTTATCAAAGAACCTCTATGTGCCTCCTTCAGGCAGCCCCTGCCATCTTTGCTATCTATGTCCATGGCAGCTCCATCCACAATACAGAATGCTGGAACAGAAAAACAACTGGTCAGTAGCTTGTCTTTCCATGGATTTTTCACATTTCAGTGGGTGAGGTCATTTCAAATCCTGTATTTATTTATGTATGCATGTATGAATATATGTATGAATTTATGCAAGAGTCAGATGGTTAAAACAATATGTTGCCATTTTTTTTTTACTTTGCTTTGATCAGAAGAGCTGTATGGTAAGATAAAAGTTTAAAGCAGGGGTATGTTCTTGTCTTTAGCAGACTAAAGATCACATTTCAAGAGATGAATGGGCTAGAACAAGAATAGGGCAAAGCCAAAACTAACTCTGAAACTGTTTCAGTTTAAATTTAATTAAAACTAAATTAAGCAAATGCCTAGAATTATGTTTCTCTATAATAAGTAAATTTGAGTAAATAGAATTCAAGAGCCAGTTTGGTATAATGATTAAGATTCCAGACTAGAAACTGAGAGACTGTAAGTTCTAGTGCCAAGTTAGGCACAAAGCCAGCCAGGTGATCTTAGGCCAGTCATTCTCTCTCAGCCCTAGGAAGCAGACAATGGCAAAATGCTTCTGAAAATCTTGCCAATAAAAATACAGGAACTAATCCAGGTAATTGCTAGGAGTCAAGAATGAATTGAAACCACTAAAATAAGTTAATGTGATGGTTCTTTGTTATTTTTTAAAGGGCTGTAGGGTACCACTCTTATAATGCTATATAAGAGTCCTTGAATAACATTCCGTATTTCTTCATGCATGGGATCAGGTAAATAGGAACAGCAGATATATTAAGGGAGTTATGATTCAATATTCACCTTAGCATAATCTAGTAATTCTAGCATTTTGAATACTTGAGGCAGCCTTGTCCCGGGATTTTGTTTTTGCTTGTTTTTAAGTTCTAAATTGTTCTCTTCCCTATATAAACTAGGTTCAATCAAGCAGATCTAGCGTAGACTATTGGTTAAGTTATTGGGCTATGAATGGGGAGCCCTAGGTTCTAGTCCATACACAGCCATGCAAGCTCAGTAGATGATTCTGGGCCAGCCACTGTCTCTCAATATCATTTATCTGAAAGACTTGTGGGGAAAAAATAGGAAGAGTTTCAGGAAGCGCATAATGCTTCCTGGAGCTCCTGTTACAAAAGATAGATTATAAATGTAATAAATAGTCAAGTAGTTATTAAAGTGTTTCTCGTGTTTAATATTCAATTATTGCAATGAAATTATACTCTGCTTTTTTTCCTTGTCCTGGATCCCAAATAGCAACAACAATAGCAATAGCACTTAGATTTATATACCATATCACAGTATTTTACAGCCATCTCTATGCGGTTTATAGAGTCAGCATATTGCCCCCAACAATCTGGGTCCTCATTTTACTGACCTCGGAAGAATGGAAGGGTGAGTCAACCTTGAATTAGTCAAACTCCTGGCAGTGGGCAGAATTAGGCTGCAATATTGCAATCTAACCACTGCGCCACAATGGCTCTAACTGTATAAATATATATAGTTTAATTTATGAACATATAAAATAACTTTTATATGATGATTAAAGAACTTAAGAATAGTCCTGATGGATCAGGCTAACATGTCTTGCTTCTCACAAATAAGAGATGACAACGTATCCCTTTCCCTCTGTCTAAAAATTACTCTCTTCCTCCCCAAAGGACTCTAATAAGTATCATTTGCTACTATTTTACAATGCAAGGTCAGTGTAAAATATAACCTCTTCATTAAAAAGTCCACCAATATTGCAAGTATTATGAAGATGTGAGTGGACCAGGGAGTTTCAATCTACTAAAGCTGAGGTTTTCGAAGTTTAAATGTTTATTTTTTAAAGTTTTTTAAGTTTCATCATTTTATTAAGAATTGTCTATATGTTATAAGGATAAGGATGGCTCTGTAAGTAAGTGGGGCTCTAAGCAATTACTATAGAGCAGTTAAACACTGGATAGAAAAGATGGTATATAAAGTACAAAATTATTCTCTAGTAGGTAAAAAAAGGATCACTTTTTGCTAGAAAATGACTTGAAATTGTATTTTTTCAGAAACTAACCATTAGTGACAAATGCGGTATATGCCGGAAAGGAGGTGATGTGATCTACTGCAGTAAATGTTTCAGGGCTTTCCACTGGCGCTGCCATTTTCCTGCCCATACAGATGAAATCAGGTATTAATTGTGCCCAAGAATAAATCTTCATTTATCTCTTATATTTGTCAAGCCTTAAGCATCTGGCTTAGTGCATAGCTCTTGTGGAAAAAGGCCCCAGCTATTACCATGGAAAGTGAGCAGGAGGAGAATGGAGACCTGGCAAATATTGATGTCAGGTGCACTAAATTAATGCCCCCCCCCCTAGAAGCGTATTTGTTCCTAATTTTATATAAGACAGGTATTCTAAAGTTTTAGTCAAGGCAAAATTTTGATCACATTTCACCTTTTACAGAAAGTTCTGTATGGGTGCAAATTCACATAACTGAATGATCCACCATATCACCATCACTAAATCTTCCTGCATATCAGAAACAAGATGATAAGGTGGAAGGCTTAGTCTAGTCCAAATGTTTATGCTGCTGTTTGATTAAATAAAAGGTTTATGTGAGGAAAAAACATTAAATCATTTGAGAATCTACTTGTAGTCTAACGTAGCTCTATCCAGTTTAATAACCATGGAATCTCAAGTCAAGTCCTATACCTTGAGGGAATGCTTAAGATTGTTTTTGCATTGCGTTCTAGTGGAATCCTGATATGTAAGTCCTGCTTGGACAACTCTACAGTTATCAACTTGGAAGGAGACTCACATTCCAATGCTCAAACACTACGAGCAGTAAAGGTCAGACATTTCATATTTTTTCAGCCTTATTGTACTCAGTGGATTAAAGAAGCTCTGTTTATACAGAAATAACCTTCATGACTTATCATGCTTCAGATGTGATACGCAATTCCCATCGTTGGCTTACACCTTGTTATCTGAGATTAATGGGAGTTACAATCTAAAAATTTCTAAATAGGCATAACTTCCCTGAGCTCCAATTGCTAAACCTGGTAGATTTTCTGTATTAATTTTGATATCAGTATGCAGAACACATTCCTGTTTCTTAGATAAAAATAAACCAAAATTACTGCTACAATCTTAAATCAACAACAAATATCAGAACATAGAGATAAGATAGGAAGAAATCTGCAAATAAATATAGTTCCTTTCACATCTTGGGGTTCGCGGCATTGAAGCAACACACACTCACGTTGTAACCAAGTTCTTCTTTATTCATTCCACGTTACCACTCAGTAACCCAACAGGCTCACAGGCCTTTTATAGTTTCCCAAACAGCCTATCATAAATCTCCTTTGTTCGTGCCTTGCACCTGTGCGCAAGGCCGGCGCCAACCAGTCTGGTCCCGGGCAATTTTTGGGTTGCCCGGGACCATTTGCAACATTTCTGGGCCTGCTGAGCTGCCTCATCAGGCCCAGGACACAACATTCCTCCCCGCTAGATGAAACACACAATTACATTTGTTCCCTGGCAGGAGAAAAAAAAAAAGAATTCCCCTGCCCAGCACACAGGCAGAATATCTTTATAAAATAATGTTAACTTAAACAAACCGCTCTCCAAAATTATAATTAGTGTGTTTAGCTCTACCAAGTGTAGATCCCCATCACCCAGTTATAGACCAGCAAGGTTCTTTTGTGATGACAGAAACCTCACATAGTTTCCCAGATGATTGGGAGGGGCCTTAGCCCTTTGCGATCTACGCAAGGTCAGGGAGGGTGCCTGGCCTGTCAGCTCACCTGCCTGGCTAGGCAGACCAGGACTTTTACTTAATGGTCCATGGCCTACCAGCCCATCTGGTGGGCTTGATAGACCAGGATGTCTATAAATGATAGGTGACCCCCGTTGCGGCGGGCTGGCTGAGTCTTCTGGACTCCAGCCAGGTTCCCTTGGAGAGGAGAAAATCCCCAAGCCCAATGGTGGAGCGGAGGTCTCCATGTACTGCTCCTGGGAACTTAGTCCCTCGAGCCCGCGATCAGTCTTGGATGTGACCTGCGTTGCAGCTGTGCCCCAATAGTTCCAGTCCCCCGTGTAGGTGGCCGAGGTACCAGAGTCAGGAGCCGCCTCTATGGCAAACCCCCTCTCAGGAGAATTCCTGTTTGGCACAGTTGTGGACGCACAGGCCACCCCCCCGGGATGACTTCCTGTTCGGAGCACTTGTTGAACTCTGGGATGACCCTTGCTCACCCACTGAGACATTAACAGTGTCCTGTGGAAAACCCCAGGCACTGCAAGACGGATTCCCAGGATTTTGACCTGGTGAGCTTGTTCCTGGTCTCCCTCCCCCCCGCCCCCGAGAGCAGAGCCAGGAGCGGAAACATCGGGGGACAACCACCAGTGCAGTTGGTCAATATGACGCCGAAGGACGCAGCCATCTCCCAAGGTCACTTCGTATGAGAGCGGCCCCGAGATCTTGCAGAGACCCAGAGATGTCCAGGACCATAATTCCTTGCCCAGACCAGATCGCTCACCTGAAGTCTCCTAGGTGCCAGCTGCTGTGACACCTGTGAAGCCACCTGGTCTGGGTGCAGTCTGTCCAACTTTGTGATGAGGCGGCGACCCCAGCGGAGTTCAGCTGGGTTCTTTCCAGTAGCAGTGCATGATGTAGTGTGGTGTGCAAGAAGAAAATCTGCTAACCTGTGATGCCAGCTACCATGCATGATTCTTTTGAGTGCGCCTTTGGTGATGCGCACCATCCGTTCAGCTTGCCCGTTGGTGGAAGGTTGGAAAGGAGCTGACATTGCGTGCCAGATCAAGTTGGCCTGAAGGAAAGCCTGGAACTCAAAAGAAGTAAATTGAGGACCGTTATCAGAAAAAAGGACATCAGGGAGGCCATGGGTAGCGAAGATTCCTCTCAACACCTGGATGGTCCTGGCAGTAGTAGTGAAGGAGACAGGTACAACCTCTAGCCACTTGGAATGGCTATCCACCAGGATAAAGAAGAATTGCCCCTGAAAGGGCCCAGCATAATTTAAATGTACCTTTGACCAAGGGGTTTGTGTCTCCTCCCACCTGTGTACAGGGGCCTGAGGCATTTCAGGCCATGATTGTTGGCACATCTGGCACCCATGCACCTGGGCCTCGATAGCATTATCAAGCCCCGGCCACCAAAGATGGTTGTGTGCAAGCGCTTTCATGCACACAATGCCCGGATGTCCCTCATGCAGAAGACAAGACTCTAGACCTCAGTGAGGCTGGGATAACTACTCTACTACCCCATAACAGGTACCCCTTAAATGTAGACAGTTCATGCCTTCTTTGCCAGAAGCTTTGAAATGCAGCATCTGGATATGTGTCAGGCCATCCTGACAAGACCCATGTCAGCACGCGTGTGAGCGTGCGATCTGTGGCAGTTTCTGCAGCCACGTCCTAGCATTGAGGGGAGATTCAGGCAACTCTTGAATGGAAAGAATATTAATAGCAGGAGCAGGATCTGCTTCTATTTGTTTGAGAGGTAATCTGCTGAGGCCGTCTGTGTGACCCATCTCTTTTCCCGGTTTGTGGATGAGTGTGTAATTATATGCTGACAGGAAAATTGACCATCTCAGCATATGCTGGGAAATAATTGTGTGGTGTCTGTTTGTTGAGAGTAAACAAACCCAGCAGAGGTTTATAGTCTGTATAGACCGTGAAGTGGCGGCCATATAAGAAATCATGGAATTTCTTTATGCCAGTCACTGTGGCCAAGGCTTCTCAGTCAATCTGAGCATAATTCCGCTCTGCAGATGACAGAGTGCTTGAATAGTAGGCTACAGGGACTTGTGTCCCATCAGCCTTCAGGTGGCAAATACTGCTCCCACCCCATAAGAAGATGCATCGCAGGCGATGCACACAGGCAGTTGCTCATTGAAATGTGCTAATACAGCATTTGAAGAGAGCAAGGCCTTAACCTCATTGAAACTCCTGTCATGGACTTTAGTCCACTGCCATGAAGCCTGCTTGTCTAAGAGCCTGTGTAATGGCTCTGCCACTGCAGCCTTATGTGGGAGAAATGCATGGTAAAAATGTAAGAGCCCCAAGAAAGCTTGCAGCTCACTCTTGGATGTGGGCCTTGGGGCCTGCTGAATTGCTTGAAGCTTAGATTCAGGAGGGTGGATGCCTTGAGCATCAATCCTGAAGCCTAAGAAGTCCGTGGAAGCAACTCTTATTTTTCATTTGTCTTGCTTTAATTTAAGGCCTGCTTGACGGAAATGCAACAAGACAGCCCTTAATCTTTCTCCTAGATTTTGAGATGACTCCCCAGCAATGAGGATGTCATCGAAGTAGGGACAGATTCCAGGAATACTACGAAAAGTGCGTTCCATGACACTTTGAAATATGCAAGGGACTACATTAACCCCAAACTGCAGTCTTTTAACCTTAAAGGCCCCTCTATGTGTTACAATTGTTTGGGCCTCTGCAGTTGCCTCATCAACAGGTAGCTGTTGATAGGCCTGTGCCAAATCAAGTTTTGCAAAAAGGCGGCCCCCCCCTTTGAGGGAGGCCAGAATGTGGCTCACCACAGGCACTGGATATGCGTGCTGTTGCAACGCTTTATTCAGTGTTCACTTATAGTCTGAGCATATGCAGACTTTTCCATTAGCCTTTAAAGGCGTAACAATGGGGGTTTCCCATGGACTAGAGTCCACAGGTTCTAAGATGCCCTGCTGGAGCAGCTTGTCCAGCTCTGCATCTATCTTGCCTTTGAGGGCAAAAGGCACCCTTCTAGGCTTGAATGGGAGGCCCCTTGTAGGAGCCAAGCTCTGAGCTAAACACATCAGCAAACTCCTTGCAGACTTCTGCAAGGCCCAACGTTTGCACACTGTGCAGCCCAGTCACTTGAATTCCAAGGGCCTCGAACCACTCAAGTCCAATAAGACTTGTGCATTCACCCCCAACTACTACCACATCTAGGAAACCCTCAAAAGCCTTACGCTGTACTTTGAGCATAGCCTCCCCTTTCACACTGACTTTGGAAGTCAGTGAGGATTAAATTCGAGGGCCTGAGTTTGACTCGAAGGCCACTACTGCTGCAAATCCTTTTGAAGGTGTCAAGTGAAATGATTGATAGAGCGGACCCTGTGTCCAACTCCATCGATAAGGGAACCCCTTGCAACTTCATGTCAATGCGAAGTTTTTTCTTAAGGGGCTTGTGTGTCCCTGTCCTCAGAATACTCCTGCACGATGCGCAGAAACCCACCCTGTGTTGGCTGGGGACCCTGGTACCTTTCTAAAGCAATTCTTCCCGAGGTTGGGCCTTCTGGCGACCCAAACAAATGGAGGCAATGTGGCCTTGCCTTCCACATGCCCTGCAGATGGCAGAGCGGAATCTGTAGTCAGCTCGCTTGTGGCGTCCTCTGCACCCGAGAAACTGAGGAAATGCTGGAGCCTTGTCTGAACGCCCTTTTGGCCTTCTTTCTGCTGGCTGGTGAAATCTGTCCACTTCCTCTTCAGGATCCGCTTCTGAATCTTCTTGAGCATCCTCTTGATGGATGGACGCAACTGCGGTAGTGCCTTTGGCGAATCGCAAGGCCTTCACAGCGCTGCCTGCTGCCTCTTCAGCTGCAACTTTGCGCAAGACATCTTGGAAGGTGACTTCAGCTTTGGCAAATATTTTTTGTTGCAGTCTCATAAGCGTTCTTCCAGGTCCTTGAACTCACAAGGCCTGGCTGCTTGTCTCAAGGCAGCAATGAATTCCTCAGCAGACTCACCAGGCTTCTGGTCTCTCTGCTCAAAAGCGTGCCTCCACGCGATCACAGATAGCTTTGGATGAAAATGGTCCTTCAACATATTCTTCAAGTCTGTGTACATTACAGACTCAAGTGGCACAGGAGCTACTAAATTTTTGGCTACGTCGAAAGTGTCCTGACCGCAGACGCACAGCAAGGTCACTGCCTTCAAGTCCTCTTCTCGAACCTGGTTAACTCGCAGGTAGTTTTGTACCCAGGCCACGTAAGAATTCCAATGCTCCGGGTGAGACACGTCGAATTCGGACAGCTGGCCGATCTTCGACATTGCTAGCTTCTCTTAGCCTCACTGCAACTTCAGCGGGGAAGAGGCCCTTTTGCCAAGCCAACCTCCAGCATTTGCATACTGGCAGGTGAGTGCAGATCTGGGTACCGACTTCCCGGCTCCAGCTCTTTTTTAGAGGCTAGATTCTTTGGTTGTCTTCTTCTTTACAGCGATCCCACCTTTGTCGCCACTTTTACATCTTGGGGTTCATGGCATTGAAGCGACACACACTCACGTTGTAACCAAGTTCTTCTTTATTCATTCCATGTTACCACTCAGTAACCCAACAGGCTCCCAGGCCTTTTATAGTTTCCCAAACAGCCTATCATAAATCTCCTTTGTTTGCGCCTTGCGCCTTTGCACAAGGCTGGCACCAACCAGTCTGGTCCCGGGCAGCTTTTGGGTTGCCCGGGACCATTTGCAACATTTCTGGGCCTGCTGACTGCCTTATCAGGCCCAAGACACAACAGTTCTATTTGCAAAGTTGATTGTATCTATATACTACTAAAATTATGTGTTTGTAAGCTTTAATTGTGAAGCAATGCATCACAAGGCAAAACTTTTTCAACTAACGTACTGCAAATGGGCTAAGTTATTGAATGCTGGTACCCATTACTTCTGTTGGAATGAAATTTTAGAAAGTTCTTGCTGCTTCAACACAGCAATTGTTCACTGCTGCCGCCATGCTGCTATGGTTATGTGATCCTAATTTACAACTTTCCTGACACTTGGCCACAAGTCAATGGGGAAGCCTAGGAAACTTTCAGGAGAAAGACAATGGAGATCACATCCTTCCAGAAAAGCTTGCAGGGGAGAAAGTCAATAGGGAACCTTGCAGGGAATGTTTCAAGTTGCTCAGGTAAGTCTCCTGCACCCACAGAATCTCTGCCAGTCCCTCTGTGCTCACAAATACATCTGAAAAGATGACCCAACAGGTGAACAGTTGTCAAGTTTATAAATAAAAATGAAGGTGTTAAATCAAAGGATTCATTCAAGAAGTGAATTTTGAAGAGAAATTTGAAAAAAAAGACAGGTATAGTGGTCTCCATATGTTTAACTATGACACAAAGCATACAACCTGGTTATATGTTAATCCATTCCTGCAGTTTATTCTTTTGAAAAGTGTTCCAAATGGCTTCTGTCTCAAGCTTATAGAATCATTTTCATTTCCAAAGCTCAACAACTTCAGTGTACTAAAAATCTTATATCCATGTTCTTTAACTAGACTGAACCTTTCCTTCTGTTGATTATTGTACTGACCCTTTTCTGGGGAGAGGCAGGGAGAGGTATCAGCAGACAAATGCAGGACCCACCAAAGGAGTACAATAGACTAATTTATTCACATCTAACTTTTTAAATTCTCATGGATAAGGCTGGTGTTTTCCTTTTACCATAGTTATTTTATG